GGCAGCAAAAACAGAAGTCCACTACAGTAGGCAAACTTACTTTTCTTACTTCAAGTTCTTGGGAGTACCTTACTATAACATTCATGTTGACTGCTAACATATACTCCTCCTTTTGGCCAAGAATCACAATACACTGTAACTTAACTGTGTATCCTTTATTCTTCCTGTTACTGCATTTTGAAGGCAGAGATATCTGTCTTGCCTTTCTTCAGAGACAACATAAGAGCTATTTGGGGTCTTGTTTAAATGAATGAAACCCAGAATACAGGTGCCTGGGTTTGTCACCTCAGTAAAAAAATAAAGTAAAATGAAGATGGAGAAGTGTTTTTAAGGTATTGTGCATGGTAGCTATGTTGCATAAGGAGGAAAAGTCAAATTCACCAAACATGTATTGATAACATCTTTGTTAGGCTGATCCCTATTGGAGACAGTGTTCCAGCAACCAATCTAGCGGAAGAGACAAATGGAAAATATTGGTTACTGTGATTTGATGTTGGCCCAGATCTAGGTTAGAATGGACCACCATAGAGCCCTTAGTAATGGATTGAGTCCTGGAGGTTAGGGTTGTCATGTATAATGGTGGTTGAGTTTAAGGTTTTTAGTTTCTATTTATTGAGCACTCTCATCGAGTTCCTAATACCCAAGGCCTGAGGTATGGGGATAGGTAGGTCAGAAGGTTCCCAGCATAGGCCCAGGTCCTGGCTCAGGGTTATACCCATTACCCTATTAACAGTGGGAAAAAATTAGCCACAAATAGACCCGGATACCTATCAAACCACAGACATAGGGGCAGACTGGTTCAAAGCAGATACTCATGCTGCCAGGCACCCAATGAGATGAAGCACTGTCCTAGAGACAGCATGTCTGCAGACATGGAAGGGGTACTGCTCAGTTCCATAGGAAGGGTGTGTGGGAGCCTGGGCTTGAGACTCTGTGGAGTAGCTCATACTTTTCGCTTTGGCTGTGTAGAGGAAGGATGTTTTTAATAAACTGCACCCATTCTGAGAAGCTGACTGTGGTCATTCTGAAGCCAAGGCTTACTTAGGACACGTGGGAAAATAGGAGCAGAGCTGTAGAAGGAGCCATTGAGGTTGTATGAGCAAACATCTCATTCCTTTTCCCTCCTGCCTTACTGGATGGAAAAGCTAGTGAGAGAAGACAGGCCACAGGACACACCTTTCTCAGTGTGTGTGTCTCAGCTAAAGGCCTAAGGGTGAAGAGGGAACAGTCTACCCTCCTGGCCAAATGCAAACCCTGCTGCTGCTATATGTGGGCCCAAGACAGCTGTCTATCCCTTGTCACTTAAGTCTGCCAGACACTTCCCTTGACTCAGATGCCGCAGGCTGGGGATGGAAGAGACCCAGTATAGAAAGCTAGCACCTTGATAACATAACAGGGGCAGAGTTAGGAACCCAAACTCCAATGGGAGTCAGAAGGATATTAATCTGGACCTACCAAAAAAGGGGTCTTCACACTGGGTATGCATACTTATGGGGATTTCCAAGGGGTGTGTGAGCATATTTAGCTTAAAGGGGAGCCATGTAAAGATCCTCAACTTCCACATGTACTCTTTACAAAACTTAATCTACCTGAGAGGGGTGATACTAGCAAGACAGTAAAACTGGAAGCCCCACAGAGACATTGACTTAATGACAATATACATTCCAAAAAGCCTTTATGAGAATTCCAGAAACCAGGTGAGAAGTCACAGTATTCAGGCAAGTTAAAAGCCAAGAACAACTGCATTGAAATAGGTAAGAGGAGCTATTTCATTCCACTTACAAGAGCCCTTCTCTCTAGCTGGCACAACTCAGTGCACTCAAGAGTAGAATAGAAATCATACAATGTCTACCCTCAGACCACAATAGAATTAAACTGGAAATCAATTACAGAAATATAGCTGGATAATCCCAATATATAGAGATTAAAGTATTAAATAAACTTTAAACAAAAAAACTTTTAAGTAATATGAGTCTTGAGAGAAATCTCAAGAGAAATTAAATATTCTGAACTAAATGAAAATGAAAACAACTTGTTAAAATTTGTGGGATGTAGCAAAAGCAGTGCTTTGAGGGAAATTTATAGCATTGAATGTATATATTAGAAAAGAGAAAAAATTAAAAATAAATAATCCCTAGGCCACAATGGTACTTCATGAGAAATTATGAATAAATCCTATTGGCACAAACACTTCTGAAAATGCAAAACACCAAGAGTACCTTCTGATTAGAAAGAAGACAGTTGTGATATTTACCTGTTTTTATAAAGGTTAGGTTAAATCTATACTTATTCTTTATAGTGTACTTATTTCTAGCTTAGAGAGCAACTGAACTTCTAAGACTCCTTAGTAGGAAAGGCAACAAAATTCCTGTAATAGTCAGACGTTTGTTTTCATAATTATCTTCCATGGATAGTTGTAACCTTACAACTGTATTTTTATTATAGAAAACTATACATGTTGCAATGTGGGAATTGTGTTGATCCCCTCCAAGTTGTAAAAGATATCATAGGAGGCTGGATTTGCTTATTAACTCTAGGATAACATGCTGAGCATAACTGCTTATTATAATTAACACAAATAAAATATTGAAATCATGAAGTTTCTTTTTACACTAAAACAAAACAAAACAAAACAAAATGAAACAAAGTCCTCATATGGTCTATGAGACCCTACATGGTCTAGCTTCCTTCTACCTCTCTGACCTCATCTACCTGTTACAATGGTCCAGCTTCCCTGATCTCCTCGCTGGTCCTCCAACACAACAAATATAGTCCTGCTTTTGCACCTTGGAACTTGCTGTTTCCTTAGCTTAGAAAAGCCTTCCCCCTAGATATGTTTATGATTTGCTCACTTACTTCATTCAAGTGTGTGTTCAAATATCACTCCCTCAGG